CAGGGAATGCTGAGAGTCCCTGCATTTCTCCCTTCTCCAGTTGAACATTCCCAGAATTCCCAGCCTGTTTCCAGAGCAGAGGGGCTCCAGCCCTTGGAGTATCCCCATTCCACACCTTCCACCAACCCAACTTCTGACCGTTTTGGGGCCATAAAAGTCCTTTCCCTGCTCCGGGAGCAGTTCTGGGGCCTCTGGCAGGTGCTCACCTCATCATGTGGATGGCCTCGGGATCGCTGGTGAAGCTGAAGGCGTAACCACTGGAGGTGGTGCCGAAGTCGATGGCCACCACCACGGAGAAGGACGGGGTCTGCTGGGAACGCGCCTCGCTCCGCTGGAAGGCAAGGAATGGGATCAAGCACTCAGCTGGGGCTGGCTGATACCAAGAAAGGAGTAAAAACCCCGGGAAGGGGTTCATTTCCCCAGGATTTTTAGGATTTTTCCCGGATTTTCACCCAATTTGGTGATCCCCTGATGGGTGATTCTTCTTCTTACACATTAGGAAAAGTTTCTCCCGTATTCCACGGGGTGGCTGCGGTCATTCCCAAAGGCAATTCCAATGGGACACAGGGATTTGGGCAACCCTGGAGAGGGATGGATGCCCATGGGAGCAGCCAGGGTGGTTGGGGGGATCCTGTTTTTATTTTGCTGAGCCCCCCTCATTTGGACCCTGAAATCAAAGCTGAGATTCCCGAAAACCTTCCCTGTGTCCAATCTCACCTTGTCCCAGGTGTCCCCAAGGGTCCCCCAGCTGAAAATCCCCCTGGCCCAGATGTTTTGGGATGTTCCCACCGCTGCTCCCACACTTTTCCTGTCCCCGTGCTGTGTCCCTGTCCCTTCCCTCCGGGGCTGTCCCCTTGCCGAAGCAGCCGTGAGGATGTGACAAGGCCCCGTCCCCGTGTCACCACGCGAAGCTGAAAGCCTTGTTAACTTTTAATGTCCCCAGATTTGATAAGTGCGGACACGAGCTGGCCGGGAAAAGTGCCGGGATCAGCAGGGAAGAGGTGGCTGGCGCAGGAATGTGCAGTGACAAGGAACTCCAGGGAGGATCCGGCTCTGGAACGCGGCCTCCCACACCCGGCAGCTCCAGAGGAGTGCGGGAGTTTTGTGGGGTTAAACTTTTCCTGGTGGGTCATTCCAGAGCTGGAAAACCCCTCCATCCTGAAAATCCAGTGGATAAAGGTTCTAGGGATAGACTGAGCCATCCTGTGGGACTGGGGGTGACGGAGGCTGGACTGGGAGGGGAGGGGGAGCAGCAACTGGGGAAGGACCAGAGGGGGAAAGGATGAAGGGACAGATGCCAGCTGCCTTATTGGGACCCCACAGTGGCTTTAATGGGATCCCACAACTGCCTTACTGGGACCCCACAGTGGCCTTACTGGGAACCCCACAGTGGTCTTACTGGAACCCTATAACGGCCTTACTGGGATCCCACAACAGCTTTACTGGGACCCCACAACTGCCTTACTGGAACCCCACAGTGATCTTACTGGGATCCCATAATGGCCTTACTGGGACCCCAAAACTGCCTTACTGGGAACCCCATAATGGCCTTACTGGGAACCCCATAACAGTGTTACTGGGATCCCAAAACTGCCTTACTGGGAACCCCACAGTGGCCTTACTGGGATCCT